CATCTGTGTGCATCGGTGTATCTTTGATTGCTGACATTGGAGGCAGTTGTGAGCCCAACTTCGAATATCTGTGTTAATTCCTAACCATACCATCCATTTGGTCCAGAGGCGCAGTGTTGCTCGGATGCCCTGATGAGCCAAGGACTCGAGAGCCGTGAAGATCCTCCGCCGATGGGTCTTTGGAATACAGTATATGGCCATAGGATGCCAATGAGAGACATGTCACATGTGATAGTATCCTCAGAATTAGGCACAGGTACGTCAATGAGCCACAGTGCTGAGGATGTGGTGTGCAATTGAAGGAGTTCTGGGTCATGTCACTGGGCCTAGCAATTTCTGTATAGTCGATGCGGGTCATCTCGAGAAAAAGTGCACACATGCCAGGTCGAGAGAGGGCATTGGTGATGACATTCTCAGTCCCTTTCACATGCCTGAAGTCAGTTGTGACCTGGGATATGTAGCTCAAGTGTCGAGTGACTTGCACGGAGTGGGAATCTCCTTTTGCTGCCAGGGCATCAGTCAGTGGTTTGTGGTCAGTGAGGACGTGGAAGTCACATCCCTTGAGAAAATGCCTGAAGTGTTGAATGGCTGCATATATAGCAAGGACGTGTCCCTGTCAAATGTACTGTATTTTGTCTCTGCTGGCATTAAGCTTGCTGAAAAGAAAGCAATGGGTCACCAGGTGTCATTGATAAATTGATGGAGTACCGCTCCTATAGCAGTGTTGGAAGCATCCATTGAGAGGCTAGTTGGCACATTGAACAATGGATGGGCGAGGAGAGTGAGTTAAGCTAGCTCCTGCTTAAGGTTGGTGAACGCCACCTCTGCCTCTGGTGACAGGGGTACTTTGGATGCCTGCTTATGCCCACACAGGAAGTCATATAAAGGTTTCAGGATGTCAGAACAATGTGGGATAAACCTATGGTAAAAATTAACCACACCCAGGAATTCTTGAAGCTTCTTAGTTGTGGTGGGTGTCTAAAGATCTTGGATAGCCTGGATCTTCTCCAGCAGCAGAATACCTGTGGTGTACACTCGGTGTCCCAAGAAGTTGAGCTCAGGCACCTCGAAAATGCATTTTTCTTGATTAAATTAATCTGCAGGTCATAGTCACAAAGGCGAGCAAAAAGTATATGAATGTACTTCCGATGGGCAGTCAGAGAGCGACTCACTATTAGGAGGTCATCAGCGTAGGCATAGCAGAATGGTAGGTCTCTGACAACCTGATCAATGAAGCGTTGGAATGTCTGCGCTGCATTACGGAGACCAAAGTGTTGTAATTGCAATTTTGGAGATGAACAAATCGACAAGGGCCATGACGAGGATTCGAACCTGCATCCAAGAGCATCCCAGATGCTGCCTTAATCGACTGAGCTACGACAGGTCAAAAAAAGTTGAAACCGAAGTTCTACAGAACTTACTGGATCCTGTAGCCTCTCCGAGACACAAACCAGGAAGTGTAATGAAGTAAGGGCGAAGAGGGAGAATGGCCTATTGACATAGCTCAAGTGCATGAGGGGGTTGTGTAAAGCCCTGGTTTGTGTCTCGGAGAGACTGCAGGATCCAGTAAGTTCAGTAGAACTTCGGTTTCAACTCTTTTTGACCATGTCGTAGCTCATTCGATTAAGGCAGTGTCTTGGATGCTCTTGGACGCAGGTTCGAATCCTTGTCATGGCCCTTGTGGATTTGTTCATTTGATGCATCACATCATTGTGATTTGTGTGTGTAATTTTGGAGATGTCCCTGGATCCACTGAGATTTGGTGAAATGCTCGCGCCAAATCTGGTTGATACCTGGTTGATGTGGTTCTGAGAGTTCTTCTACTCCCCAAGCCATCTACTGTCGAAATCTACTTGGAAATCTATGAAATCTATGTGGAAGTCAAGCCACGAAATCTACTTTCGAGAATGTTGTTGCCCCATGCAGCATCTTAGAGAAGTCCTGAATGCAGCTAACAGCTTGTCAAATTCGTCCTTGGCCACCTGGACACGCTCTGGCAGTAGTTAGCGCAGTCGTGCGTAGGTTGGTGGGCCTGAGGTACAAATATGATGGGTGACTGTGCTTAACCATGGCATTTGGCAGATGTGGCTTGGTGATGTCCTCAAATTCCTCCAGAAGGTTCTGCAGGTCAGGAGAGTTATGTGGGGACAAGGCTAGTGAGTAGCCGTTGCTCTGTACTCACCCGCTGGAGTCCACCACACGTCACATTCACCAAGAGGTTGTGATGGCGTAAGAAACAGCACCCCAGTATAGGCATATTAACTTCATCAGCACGGAACCTCCATGTGAAGCGACCAAGGTTAGCAAAATCAAGAGTGACCACACTATCGCCATAGGTAGGTACGACAGAACCGTTGGCAGCAACCACGTTGTGATGCGGAGTGTGAGGTGGCTTGTGGACTGGAGGAGGGAGAACAGAAACTGAAGCACCCATGTCAACCAGATAATGGTGCCGAGAGGTATGATTGACCATATATACAAGTGAATCAACCAAGACGGCAGGGTTACTGACCATTAACAGACCCCCACCTGAATAGGCACCCGGTTGGTGGCAGTTCCGGGCTCTAGCCCCAAACTTGTGATGGTAGTAGCAGTAGTATGGGTTCGAGTTGGGCATCAAGGATGGGCTGTGGGACTTGCAATGGGAATGTTGGCGGCTCTGAATAGCACTGAGGTGTTGGCTGTTCATTTGGGTCGTCACTGTTGAGTGGTCAGAAACAAGGGTATGTCCCGTGCAGAGTGAGTCGCCTGGTGCACTATGGATTCAGTCTGCTATTCTCGCCAGGCTCTCTGGTGTCACATCATCACTCTGGGCAAGGCATAGCATGCAAATGTGTAAGGGCAAGCGTTGTAGGAACAGAACTTTGACCAGGGCATTGTCACATGCTCCACCCGCCGGGCGTAGCAAGAGCTGCATTTGCCAAAGCATTTGGGATGGTGTCCGATCCCCAAGGCTGCAATAGCTACTATTGGTGAGGAGTAGGTCATGCTAGCAGCTTCTACATACCTTAGCTGCTGCGAGGAAAGCAGTCTTCAAGGCGACGAATCTGTGTGGCTGATGGTGTTATAACCACAGCTCGTATGTGACACCTGAATGGTGTCCAGAGGCAATGCCGTCACAGTGAGTGCATATTGCTCTGGATCGTTAGTTACCTTGTAGGTGTCAAAGCAGGCCTCTACCTGTGCAAACCATGCCTCAGGGTCAGACGAAAAATATGCTGGTAGCTAAAATGCAGCCGCCATGGTTTGTTTACATCCTGTCTGGGAAAACACTGGTGTGGAATTGACTCCGGGTCACCACTCTAGTGCCCTGATATCCACCAGACAATGGTTAAGTAAACACAAGTCTGATCCACACACATATATTCTATATCTGTACAAACCCAAGGAGGGTGTGAGAGAGTGTCTGATCTCATGTTCGTCCGCTTGTTTTTCTACCGCTGGTCAGTTGCCTCTCTTCCACTCTTCTGCCATTTTCTCTTAAGTACCCCCTACAACATGGTGGAGTTAAGTCACTACATTTACATGTAGTCAGCTGGTCACCTGCCTCTCTGTCGAGGGGGTTGGGGGGTGGAGGGGAGGTTATCTAGATGACCGCTCCACTAACTTAACGTTCTGATATTATACTTATTTTTTACTTTAATGTGTATGTTGCATTAAAAGTATAAAAGTAAAAGTACCTTATAAATTAAAAAAAAATACAATAATCTAGTTCACTTAGCTCTAACATACTACATTTTCTATGTTTTTTTTATATGGTGCGGTCCTAGAGTACATATCACTGGCTTCAAATCTGCATGTAGTGGAGCACAAACTAACACTAAGAACACCCAGAAGTCTGCAACAAGTCTAGTATCCAAACAAATAGATCTAAGCTAGAAAGATTAAGGAAACTCAGTCTTAACTACTCTTGAGAGAATGTCCAAAAGGAATATGATCATTGTGTACAAGATATAGAGAGGAATAGACAATGTGTACAAGAACAGCATTTTCAAATTGAGGGAAAACTGGTGGAAGGTGGAAGCACAAATGAGCCAGAGAAATAATTAAATACTATATTTGAATGCATTGAGGGTGGTTAGCAGTGAAAGGCGCTGAAAGCAGTACAGAAGTAGCAGAAGTCAACTCCATCCACAGCTTAAAGAGCAAATATAAAAAGTAAATAGCTAGGAGGGGCCAAAAGAAATAGAATTCCTTCCTTGTAGACACTGAAAGGTAGGAACCCACACAACATATCTTGAGGTTATCTTGAGATGATTTCGGGGCTTAGCATCCCCACGGCCCGCCGGTCCTCGACCAGGTCTCCTTTTACAGGAGACACACCCCCAGGAAGCAGCCCGTAGCAGCTGTCTAACTCCCAGGTACCTATTTAATACTAGGTAACAGGGGCATCAGGGTAAAAGAAACATTTTGCCCACTTGTCTCCGCCTCCACCGGGGATTGAACCCAGAACCACAGGACTATGAATCCGAAGCGCTGTCCACCCAGCTGTCAGGCGCCACAAACATATGTCCACACTCGCCACCTTCCCTCACCATATGCCCACACACTTCATATACCCACATCCACATTCCAATCCGCAACACTGAGAGACTAACCACATCAAACCATTATCAACTACTGTACTGTATACAACCAACTGTATACAACCACACAACACAGTTCACCCAATCACTCACACCCCTTACAAGCACTTGACTGTCACCCACATTCTTCTGCTTAATCCACGAACACCCTCTCATCCCTTCTCATAAAATCCCTTCCTTTGCATGAAATTTTTTTTTCAAGATGTGTGTACAGAGTGGGAAGGGGGTAACACTTTTTTTTTTTTACAGAATATTAATTTTATTTCCATTACAGTATATACCTGTCTTTGAGATGTGATACCTCTCTCGCTTGGTTGTGATCAAAACACATCTAGTTTAATTTAGGGTCATTGAAAATTAATGTGCAGTGTTTACTGGATGGTAGTATTGATGCTGCATTTGACTTTCCTACAGAACTGGCAATACCTGTCCGGGGTGGTAGCGACACTGAATGAACAAGGCGAAGCTGCAGTTAATGGTGTTTTGACATATCTTCAGGTGGGCATCTTTGTAGAGTATTGTATATGTACTGTAGGTATATGCTAGTAGGATGCTTATTTACTAGTCTTTTGTGAGAAGCAAAACCAAAACACCACTACCAGTAGTTGCCACCCATAACACTAGGCTCTCAACCTTCAACAGTCTCATTTGCATCTGGAACTTGTTCACTCAACAGGTTGATACATGGGAGATCAGGTCCACTGATCACATGAAGACTCTGGCACTCAGTTGGCTACAGGCTCATCCTGTTCCTTATATGATTGTTACCTAATGTTGTTAATGAATAAAGACTATTCATATTGATGCATATAACAGGCTCATGAAACAAATGGGCCTCTAGGAGTAGGTTTCAACTGAGCTGAGTTAGGATTACAGCTCTTGCCTGCAGTTTCACTAGATACGTCATTTGACAGCCCATTTCACAGTCCTTGTGAACTCCTCGGGTCATCCTAGCAGTGGGGAATGTTTGTAGACATTTTGGCAAGCTTGGACAAGGATCTTTGGATGATGTCTCTGGGTCTCTTCTGGACTTGGTTCCCTCATTATCCCTAGAGCTTCCCTTGGCATTAGGCAGCTAGGTGAAGCAGGCAGCTCCCTATTCTACTTCTACACACACCTGGATTTTGTAGATGTTGGCTAAGAGTGACCAAATCATTGTGGATCCAGTTACTACTCCTCCATATAGAAAAATTATTCCCCAAAAAGAATGATCCTAGAATTATGAGGGGGTCAACCTCTACTGGATACAGAGATACAGGAAGTGCTGGACCAACCGGGCTGTGGTGGATATGTGGGCCTGCGGGCCACTCCAAGCAACAGCTTGTTGGATCAAACTCTTACAAGTCAAGCCTGGCCTTGAGCCAGGCATGGGGAGTAGAACCCCATCCAGGTATTTTATTGAGTGGAGGGAAAAAATGGACTTTGGGAGGTGGTATATATTACATATCCATGCTCAGTACTGTAGTGTAGAGTTTTTAAATACAAATTGCAATATAGTAATTTTAAAACCTTAAAATATATCCTCTATGATATCAGATTAACTATGAGAATCCACATTAATTACAAGATTATCAAGGCAGTCTTAATAAAACTGACCAGTTTGCCAAAAAATCAGCCCATCGTCCTGTTTTGATAGTACTTAATGAAGGATGGCACTATGCAGATTTTTAAGTGATTATTTTGGATAATACAAATACATTATTGCGTGATGTTAAATTAGGTACAGTACTGCACTTACTAATTGTCATAATTTTTTGCTGGAGCAGGCAAGTGATCTTGAAGATGCAGCTGTGCTAGCCAAGAGAGAGCTTCGATGGACACTTGTCAGAACAACTTCTACAACAGAGGAGGATGACAATGGAAATAATGCTACATAGATGGTTGTGAAATATTGTGTAAATTTTATACATAGAGAATAAGGCAGTACTTTTATGAAATTATATTTCATGAGTTACTTTTTTAATATGTATATGTATATATAAATATTTTCATATGTCTGTTAAGAGGTAAATTTATTGGCTTAGATTATGACATATCAACTCTCTGTAGCATTAAATAATTTAATGATATAAAAATTGAGTGTTGCCACCTCCTCACAACTGGTATGCTATCTGCCACTTTTGTAACAAATGTACTGCAGTACTTTGTTTTCCCAAGATATTCTAAGATATTTAAAGATATGGTAAACAGGAAAGATTAGTATGTATTACTGATCATAAACTGTTTTGTTACTACAGTATTTCCGTATTCACTAGGAAGACCATGATTGCCTAATTTCCCTATGCATGTTTTTCCACAGTATAACTTTCAAATACTGTATCGACCTTGTACCTAAACTAATCACTCCATTAGTTTCTCCATATTTATGAAGACTTATTATGTATACTATACATACAGTACTCATTACCCCCAAAAATGTGCTAAGGGAAACAGTAGCATAAGGAAGTAAAGTTGCAGTAAACTGCCACTCCCTGGTTTACTCGGCTCTTTCATCACTAGTCAAATTATCAAATATACTTTTATTAAATGGAAAATAAAATTTATAGTTCATGTATGTAAATTTCTGTTGTGTAAAAAAGTAAAAATATCCAAATTAAATAGTGGAACCTCGAGTGACGAGCGACTCCAGTTTCGAGCACTTCGAGTAACGAGCAAGCCACTCGCAGAAAATTTGTCTCGACTGACAAGCTTTCGCTCAATTAACGAGCATTCCCGCTGGTTCTCGGACACTTCCGACGACAGTGTTGTTGTTTCACAAAACTAGTTTTCCACATGACGAGCTCGGTGCCGGAACGGATTAAATTCGTTAATCAAGGCGCCACTGTACTTGCAATGACATGATCACACAATTTCATTTATTGTTTATTTTATTACAGTAAAAATTTGAGTAATGGTTGCTCGGTAAGGCTGCTGTATATTACAGTTAGAGCTTGTTGCAAGTTTGTACGAGTATGCAGTATATCAGTTGATCCTTTTTTGAATTCCCTTAACATTCTGGAATATTAAATTAATTGTTCAAAACCCCAGTTTAGCTCAAACAAGGATGTAACATTAAATTATCAGCCCCGTGCTGTGCCTTTTTATTCTAAAGTGTTACATAATTTAAGTTTTTATTTTTATTTGTTTCCTCATAGCTGAGTTCGGCAGCCTCTTCTTAGTCTGGAGCCTAAAGATATGGCTGAAAAACTTTTCACAGCATGTGTATATATAGTTACTCAGGTTTATAATTGATGCATGTTATGGTACTCTGTATATCATGCAAATTAATGTGTATTAATGTGTGCATATGATCACATTCGTACATATTAAAAACTAACACTATATATGTACATACTGAACCATTCACACACAATTTGAGCAGAATGTCTACACACCCAAGTGGTTAATGTAATGCATTCTTCAAACTGAATCCAGTTATTTATTTACTGTAGCTTATTACAAATAAAATGTTCTTTGCAAATTAATCGGTGCCTTCAGATTTTTTTTACCAGTAACTTCTATATGTTATCTGGTAAATTTCATGCATATTTATGAGGTCATTATTAAGTGGGATTGTAGGTTTTTGAATGAAAGTTCTATGATGAATTGAATACTTTTCTAAATAGATACTGTACTTGTATGCTATTTTGTTACTGAAAGTGAAAAATGCACTACTGTGTATTACTTTATAGAAATACACTTGACTATAGCACATGAGTTATCATTTGATAAAGTAAACAGTGCTTACCTTCTTGCAAAGTATCGAATCACTTTATCAAGATTAAACTTTTTTATACTAGAGATATTTATCGCTTGTTATATATTTGCTCTCCAGTTTTGTGTATTGTAATTGTTCCCCCATATAGTCACTCTTTCCATTTTAGTGCTCGACAAAGAGCAATCTTTCTCATTAAATCTTTTTAATACACCCAGTATACTGGGGCCAGATTCACGAAAGCACTTACGCAAGCACTTACGGACGTGTACATCTTTCCTCAATCTTTGACGGCTTTGGTTACATTTATTAAACAGTTTAGAAGCATGAAAACTTGCCAACCAACTATTGTTATTGTTATAAACAGCCTCCTGGTGCTTCGGAGCTCATTCACTTTTTAATAATTGTAAACAAAGCCGCCAAAGATTGCGGAAAGATGTACAGATTCGTAAGTGTTTGCGTAAGTGCTTTTGTGAATCTGGCCCTTGGAGGCTTAACAATGAAAAACATAGCAGTAGATGTAGCTGTTAAATATTACAACTGATGGAGTATAAATAACTGAACACTACTGGCAGTGTATATTTTTATCGTCCAGTCTCCAGTGCAGTGTGTCTACATCCGTAGATGTGAAAGACTACCTATTGTTTACTACTGTAAATAGAATGCATAATGCATACTCATTACTTTGCAGGCAATTTTTGTAATGTGTGCACTTATGTTATGGCAAATAACTAATATTATTGACTATAAAAATAATTATTTCCAACTTGGTACCTTTTTTGATAATTATTAAGAAATTAGTTTAAACATTAAATTTTTGTGTTCATTTACAAATATTGATAAAGAAGCTAATTTGCCTTTAAAAAAGCCATGTTTTTATGTAACTCAAAGCAAGAGATTTTCAGGCCTTCTGACTCTGCTCTCCCCATCATGCAAGTAGTTATGTATTTGCTTTTAGGCTGAGAATAAATCGCCAGAGCAGAGGCTTAATCATGTCAACATATTCAAGAGAAACCTTTACTGCAGGTGTTGTGTTCTTGGTACAGTGTACTGTACAGAACTAGAAAACCAACTTCATTGTGTTTCCAAAATATAAAACAAAATGCATTTAGAAAATGGACTTTAGTCTTTGCTGTCGTGAAATAATAATGCAGTCCTGTTTATCAAAAATAAATTGCAATTATAAAACTTGAATTTGGAATTTAGCTGTATAATTGTTCTTATTATATGTAGATAAATTCTTTCATTAGAATTTAATTGTCAAAAATTGCAATTGTTGCATTTATATAGTGTGTTTTGTATCATTAAATGTACTATATATTATTCTAATCTCTTGCAGAGGAAGATTTTAAGAATTGTTTTCCCATATTCTATGTAATTATTATAAAATATTTGTGTTCAGTACCTCCACACTCAATACAATAAACAAGATATCCTCATTATTTATTCTTGATGCTCTATCCTCTATTAAAAGCACCTGACAAAATAGATATCAGTTACATTAATGCAATATTATGTAGACATAATTACCTGTGGAAATCATGGAAGAATATAGTCATCTTCGTGGTTTTAACCACTGTGCTGCTCGGCCTCTAAATCTGCCCCCTCCCCCTCCTGTGCACAGGAAATAAATTGTTGGATTTTTTTTTTAACCGATAAATACCAATAAATGCCCCTCCTTGATGACGTATGTGTAAAAGGAGACTCAAAATTGTACTTACTTTGGCCTCAATGGGGTCCGGAAAATGTGCTGTGATGTCACGATTCGGTGGTCACCCGTGGCGTAGACTCCCGGGGGGCAGTTGCATGCCATGTTCATCATGTGCGAGTTGCAACAAATTATTTTTGGTTCTTTTTTTGCGTGCATTTACAAATGCATTTGTTTTGTTTTTTCTTGACAATCCTATGTATAATGAATATGTGCACAATATTATGGCAGTAGAATATCCATACTGTCCTAGGACAGTTATGTGTACTGTATCACAAATGTGTTTACATATATTGCTCATATTTCCAATGTTTCAAGTTCAATCATGTATATTCACACACTATACAGTATCACACACTATATACAATCACCATCAACACACTCAGAACTCTGCGAGTGTGTGATATGCTGCGAAACAGCTGACAGGGCATAGTGGAACTTTGCACTCAATGCACCAGGTGGAGATGCATCTTCGCTTGCCTTCTCTACGTTGAGTGTTCTTGCATACAACACAGGCACGTTTTCCCTTGTCCCATGATGCTGTACTTGGCATATACTCGAGCATGTGCACACCAAAATTCTCATTACCTCTCAGTCTGTCTGGAACTGCATATGGCATTGTTGCTGGCACCCCGCTCGATGAGCCCTCCTTGCCATACCTTGCGAGCAGTTGTGACACTAGAGCAACACTGAACTTTTGTATTGGGGGTCTCTTGCCTGATTTGACTGATTTGTTGAAAGAGTTGAGCATGGCAACATCAATGAGATGGAAAAAGAATTTTTTCATCCACTTCACAGATTTACTCACACACTTGACGGCACGGAGCATAATGTTACATTTATCTACCAGACGCATGTTGATGTTACAGTCTATGACACGATCTGGTTTATATATTGGGAAGCATGTTTGAAAGTGCACTTTGCCACTGTCCAACATAGCACCGGTGTGAATTGTTGTTCTACATATTCACCTCGCGTCTGTCCCTCCACCTCACTGATAATACCTTGTCACACTTGCGCAGCTGGTAATTACCCACTGCAATACCTATGCCAAACACTGGCATAGGTATTTCCCTCCTGTGGGCCTTCACAGTGCCACAAACGCCGATGTTGTGGTCAAGGAGGTATCTGGTCAACAAGGGGCTGGTATAGTAGCTGTCGGTGAACAGTATATGCCCCTTGTTCAGCAACGGTGCTACATAGCCTTCCTGGCTTGGTGCCTTCTTTGATAATTACTTACTTGTTCAGCAACAGTTTCATGAGGGTTTTGATGACACTGCCGGAGAACCCACATGGATCTTGAGCTGGTATGTCAACGTCTGTACCTGAATACAGTATCATGTCCATGACAATACCAGTTTCACAGTCGCACAGCACGAACAACTTTAGTCCAAACCGGTGCTGCTTTGATGGGATGTACTGCTTGAACGCCAGTTGTCCCTAGAAGAGGACTAGCAATTCATCAATCACCAGATTTTGTCCAGGTACAAAATACTTACGAAACTTGCCTCTCATATCACTAAAATTTTATCTTCTGCACCTTACAAAGTCTGTCGTGTCTGTCTTCATTTTCATTGTTTTCAAAGTGCAGGCACCTAAGAAGCAACAGGAACCCATCACGTGACATGTACCTGTTGAACACGGGGGATGGAACAAGGCTGTCTTTGCTCCAATAATCATGGATGACGTGTTTCTCAGAATGTTTCATCGTCATGCTCAATGTGAGAAACACGGACATGTTGTCCTTTGTGGTGTCCTTCCATCGTGTCATGCGAGAGGCAGGTAAAATGCCTCTCTATGAGGATGTCTATATAAAATGTCTATGAGGATGTGAGCATATCTGTTAGTCTCTGCCACAAGATGATTCGTGAATTCATTATTAAAATATGCTGGGGAATAGTCGATTTCAACCATATCGTCACTTGTATAGGGGAATAATGGTGTCACACCAACATCGGTACCATCAAAAGTTGGTATTTGTGGCACAAATCTCTCACAATCCTCCCACCCAAGTACACCCAGGGGTTTGGGTTTCGCACCAACACCATGACCAACACCACCACGAGCACAAAAAACACGGCTTCGTCATCATGTGTTAAAGCTGCGAATAGGTATGGCAGGAGATGAGGCTGTTCTGCGTATCGTAGGCCTACTACGAACACCTGATGTTGAGGAAACACTGTCGTAATTGTCCTCTGGCAGCCTAAAACGCTGCCGCTTGTCTCGGTGTGTTGCTGGGGCAGCAAAACCCTGCCTAGTAACACCCTCGCTGCTCGTACTCGGGTCGTCAACACTACAGGTACTTGTATCGGCGCCTATGTAGCTGAAGCCTGAGAATGATTCATCACAAGTACTATCACTGAATAAACTTACATCAGAGGACACATATGGTGGTGGTGACTCTAACGGTGTTGACCCAGGGCGGCAAGGCAGGCCGGGCGAGGTGCGTGTACGACATCATCCGCCTCAATCTCTCCCTCACTTGTATCAGACCTCTGTAAGGTCTTTCTCTGTATCGTAGTCTTAAGCCATCATCCATGTCACCATCATTGTACAAAATGTCGCAGTATTTCCTCCTCGGAGAGTTGTTTTGCATAACTGCGGCTGACCGTGGAGCGGGAGCTCATAGACGATGCTTCAGACATGATTGCTTCCTTGAAACTGAGGCTTTCCACAGCTCTGGGGCATGCTGGGATTTTTTTTTTCAAAATGGCGGACGATCACTGGGGCCCACAGGCATCCATTTTGTACCCATGTCACTGCTCACCCGTTTTGAATGGTATGCTATGCCTATAAGATAAATGAGGCACATAGCGCACCACCTGTCGAGCACCTGCAGGCGCGTTGCGCAGTTCAGTGGTTAAAGATTATATTAGTGAATAGGATAAAAAAATTAAAAAATTAACAATAAATTTGCACAAAGAACACTTTTCTTATATATTTACAGTCTCTGTGGCTTAGTGGAATGATGCTCGCCTGGCATTCCGCGAGCACTTTGTCCTGGGTTTGTATCCTGGACGGGGAGGATTTATTGTGTGCAAATCCTTAACTGTAGCCTCTGTTTAACCCAACAGTAAAATGTGTACTTGGTTGTTAAACCGATTCCTCGCAGGGGTCGTATTCCAGGGAACATAGGATTAAGGACTTGCCCGAAACGCTAAGCGTACTAGTGGCTGTACAAGAATGTAACAACTCTTGTATATATATAGTTATATAGTTAATAAAAGTGCACATCAAGACTGTGAGTAAAATAATTCATGGATGACAAGCAGCGGTTGCAGACAACAACAGCAGCCACCAGCTGCTGATAGCAGTAGCAGTAACAGTCACTAGCAGCTGTAGAGCATCACCAGCAGCTGCAACAATAGCAGCCACTGCCGGCAGCAGCAGCCACTGTCACAGCACCAGCCACAGCCAGCCACAGCCAGCCACAGCAGAAGCAGCAGCCACTGCCAGCCACACCAGCAGCAGCAGCCACTGCCAGCCACAGTAGAAGCAGCAGCCACTGCCAGCCACAGCAGCAGCAGCCACTGCCAGCCACAGCTGCAGCAACCACTGCCAGCCACTGCCAGCCACAGCTGCAGCAACCACTGCCAGCCACAGCAGCCAATGCCAGCCACAGCAGCAGCAGCCACTGCCA